ATTCTTTTAGAGAAGTGGATATGCATTCTGGGAATCCATAAAGGTATTAATTAGCCTTCTCTAATTTGGTTTTTTGAGTTGCAGATGTTAAATGCTATCTGAAAATAATACATTGTTTTCTCTTGTTATAGCACTTGTGAAAATCATTTAATGTACTCAGCACTCCTCAGATGAGTTCTCAAAATAATAATTAGACCATTTGAAAGAATTTTTAGAACTTAAATATCCTATAAAACTGCTGAGTTTTCAAGGTGGGCATGGTGGTGCACACCCTTAATCCCAGCACTTGGGAGGTAGAAGTAGGTAGATCTCTATGAGATTGAGGCCAACCTATTACGTAGTGAGTTCCAGGCCAGCTGGGGATACAGGGAGGCCTTGTCTCAAAAAGACCAAAAGAACCCAAAACCGCTAAGCTTTTTTTCTCCGTGAACTTATGTTTGTGGTAGTTAATCTAGTTACGCCATAGGTAGGAGCAGCTGTAGTAAGAAATGATGCCCCTTCAAGCCCTGACCCCACAGTTATTTAGAAAAGTTACTCTCAAATTATCAAGAACACTCAGCTAAATGGTTATAAATTAAAATATATTGATATTTCTACCAGTGTCTCTCGTGTTTTGCATGGATAAGTCTTCCATGCAGTCTGGTTTTATTACGAAGCAGGCCATCTCATTTCCATGAGGCTTTGGCTGTAGCAGATGGAAGTGGGGAAGATGAGCAACAAGGGAAAGAATTGCCAGAATGCTCTGCTCTGTGTCCTGTAGACAGACAGACAGACAGACAGGGAGGGAGGGTGCTGCTCTGAACACCCAGTTTTTCTCTAAGCATCTTCGCTCTAATCAGTAAGGTTTCCAAATAAACTTAACATTTTTACTCCTTTATTTGCCAAGATCTTTATTTTAATCCTCAGCCCACCCCATGTGAATCACCGACTGAGTACTCGGTGACAGTTTTGTAATCTAATCACAAGAATTTTTAATGCTTATTTTTAAAAAATAATTCCAGATGGTGGTGCATACCTTTAAAACAAGTACTCAGGAGGCAGAAGCAGGTGGGTCTCTGAGCTTGAGGCCAGCCTAGTCTATATAGTGAGTTCCAGTCCAGCTAGGGCTATACTGTGAGACCCTGTATAAAAGACAAAACAATTCCAGATAAATGGCACGCAGCTTATTAAATTTTCCAAGATCAGAAAAATTCGATTCCTAGTATATATAATGCAGTAGGTCTTAATGAGAAGCAGATTGATCATTTTTGAACTCTGGATTATAAAAACTCTGTCAGTAATACCCAAGAGTTTACCACCATGTTTTAGCAAAGTTCTATCAAAAGTAGTGACTCTGAAGTTGAAGTGTTTTAGATCAGGTGATTTTACTTGGATGAAATACCACTTTATCTTTTTCTCTTTAAAATTAACAAAATTGTTCCTGTTGCATAGGTTCACCATGAGAGTTTGAATGATATGTTACAGATATAGTATATCATACATAAGTGCTCAGATATTTACGATGATTATTGCTTAAAAGTACCTATTGTATGTGCATGTTAAAACATAAAATTGGGCTGGAGAGATGGCTCAGCAATTAAGAACACTGTTCTTGCAGAAGATCCGGGTTCGAATTTCAGCACCCACATGGCAGCTAACAACTGTCCATAACTCCAGTACCAGGAGATCTGACAGCCTCTTCTGTCCTCTGCGGGCACTGTGTGACACAGGTGCGCTTACCTACATGCAGGCAATGCACGCACACACATAAAATAGGAGATCTGACAGCCTCTTCTGTCCTCTGTGGGCACTGCGTGACACAGGTGCGCTTACCTACATGCAGGCAATGCACGCACACACATAAAATAAAAATAATAAAAATTTAAAAAAACATAAAAATTAAGTTTCGAGGACAGGAGATGAATTGGTGAGCCCCAGGTTCAACTGGAGACCTTATCTTAAAAAATAAAGTGGAGAGCCATTAAATAAGAGGCCAGTGTTGACCTCTGCCCCCCTATGCATACATGTTTGTGTACTTGCACACACATGAACACATACACACATCCATATGCAAAAAATTAAATTTTGAAATCATTTTCCCTTTTTGCGCTCATGTTACTGCAACCAATATACCCATTTTTGACCAATTTGAAATTATCATTTTAGAAATTAATTTGTTATACAGTTTCTTTTCTAGTGAATTAAGAAAAGAGATTGATTAAATTTGAAATTGAATGTGTATGATTTTCAGGAATAGGCTTGTAATTTGGAAAGCATGTTATGTTTTTATAAGTTGTATTTATGTTTACATAAAAGCTTATCAGGAACAAATCCTAACGTTAAACTTGGTCTTGATGCCATTAAAACTAGGTTCTTTTGGAGTGTGGGGATACACACTTGCAAGCCCGGCACTGAGACTTGAGGACTGAGACAAGAGGGCTGAGTCTGAGGCCAGCCTGGACTTTATAGCAGGTTTGAGGTCAACCTGAGCTATATAGTGAGACCCTATCTCAAAGAAAAGAGAAAAATTTGATTCTGCATGTTTTATTTCTAGATCACATCTTTATAGATGTCATGATGATCATATTAAAATTAAGTTTCATGGGAACTGGAGAGATGGCTCAGTGGCTAAGAGCATGTACTGCTCTTCCAGAGGATCCAAGTTCAGTTCTAAGCACATCAAGGGCTCACAACTGCCTGTAATTCCAGCTCTAGCAGATCCAGTGCCCTCTTTTGGCCTCCATGGGCACCTGCACTTGGGTGTGCATACCTGCACATAGACATACACACATACACCTAATTAAAAAAAATCTTTAATAAAAATGTTTAATAGCTTTACACTTTGTATTAGGTGTGAGAAAAGATGCAATGCTGTAATAAACTACAACATACTAGCTAAATAATACTGTGTACTATCTTGCTCACACATTGGTTGTGCTGATAGCAGAATAGCTTTCATACCCACGAGCAGTTTATTCCAGTCTGCTCCACCATCCACAAGGGCATTTTGTCTCCTGAAGAGTGAGGTGAGATACTGTGCATCTCCATTCCAGCTTGCAAAACATGAAAGAGGCTTCTTAAAAATTTCACATGACATCCAGATGCAGTGGTATGATCCTGTTGTCCCAGCTATTTGGGAGGCCGAGGCAGGCGGCTGCCTGGAGCCCAGGAGTTGAAGACCAGCATAGGCAATGTTGCTAGATCCCATCTCAGAGTATCCTGTAAAGAAGCACTAGGTCCTGTCTACCAGTATTCAGTGGTGGGAGAATGACCTTCAGGCATTCAAGTTCTGCTTTAGTAAGGATTTTAAAAAATATTTTATTTATCGTTTTTATTTTATGTGTATGAGTGTATTGCCTGCCTGTATGTGAGTGCACTCGTGCTGTGCAGTGTTGCAGAGGTCAGAAGAGGGCTTCAGATTCCCCTGGAACTGGAGTTAAGGACGGTTCGTAGCCGCCATGTGGGTGCTGGGAATCCAACCCGGGTCCTCTGCAAGAGCAGTCAGTGCTCTTAACCACTGAGCCATCTCTCCAGCCCTAGTAAGGATTTTTATATTATCCCAGATAACAAACAGAAGGTTGCCTCTCTGCCAGGGAGTAAACTGGACAACTGCTTTTGGAATATGTAACCAAATATAATAATGTTAGAATTAGGGAGTTTTCAGTAAATGTTTTTCTGTATTATATTTCATTGTTACTTTTATTTAAGTATATAGGTGTATAGATAATTTTTGTGAGTGTGGTACGCATGTGTGTGCATGCATGTTCTGTGTATGGGTACTGTGTGCAGTTGTGTGTGTGCGTGCATGTGGAGACCACAGGATGACATCAGATGTCTTCCTCAGTTGCTCTCTGTTTACTAAGGCAGGGTCTGTTGCTGAACAGGAGCTCACCAGTCAAACTGCTCTGCTAGCCAGCTTGCTCTGGGCCTCCAGTTTCTACCTCCTGAAAGCGGGGATTTCAGGCGGGCCATCACGCCACTCTGGCTTTTGTGTGGGTGCTGGGGATCCAAATGCTAGTCCTCACGCCTGAATGGCAAATGCTGTATCCACTGAGCCATCTCCCGGCGCTAGATGGATAAATTGTACAATGATTTGAGCATGCTAAGCTCTTCGTTCTGATTTATCTTGAGTTTGATAGTAGATGCTTCATTTTGCTTTTGTAAAAAACAACTTTTTCTCTTAATTCTTTTTAAAATGAATTCTTCATCTTCCCATTTTATCCCCCTTTTACTTTCTAACCTTGAGAAGTCTGAATTTGGACTGAATTATAGTTCCTTATTTGTTTAAGTAATTTATACAGGCAAATTCTGTGTAAGGCTATCTTTGGCTAATTATTAATCTTTGGTTAAGCTTTAGGTACTGTTCTGGGTCCTGAGAATATAACAAAAGACTGACCTGGGTTGAGTTTTTATTTTGATTTATTGCTCTGGTAATAAGTTTGATAAAATCGGAAAGGTTAACTTTTCTGTTAGTGAATATATTTTAAAAACTGTTCTGGGCATGGTGGCACATACCTTTAATCCCAGCACTCAGGAGGCAGAGGCAGGCGGATCTCTGTGAGTTCAAGGCCAGCCTGGTCTACATAGTAACTTCCAGGACAGCTGGGGCTACAGGGAGACCCTGTCTCAAAAAAGACAAAAACAAAAACAAAAACAAAAAAAAAACTGTGAAGCATTCTTATAAAGGTAATGGAATATTTTTGTTCCCATTCCAATTCATGTGAACAAGACAGTGGTATACTAGAAAATGAAAAATACTTACATCATGGTTTTAATAACTTTTAAATTTTATTTTTGAGAATTTCATACATGGGTATTATATTTGCATTACTTCCATGCCTCCCAGTCACCCTCCAACTCCTCTCATGTCCCCCCAGTTTTTTGTCCACTTCTTTGACTATTATTGTTACATAAACATACAAAGCATTTATAAATATACAGAGAAATAATGTGCTGAGTCCAATCTGCCCCTTTTTTTCAGTTTTAATCAGATTTTATTCTTATGTCTCTATCTTTTCTAGAAACTGGCAGACCTTTCTCTTCGTATCCAACAAATCGAAACAACTCTCAATATTTTAGATGCAAAGGTTTGTATTTCTAAATACAGGATAAGCTGCTGTACATATACCATCTTTGTCAGTCATACTTTGTATTTGGAGTGAATTCAATCTAACCGCTATATCTATGAAGTACAGTGTTGTACATTTTAAAAAATATAAATATAAGGAAATGATATTCTTATAAACATGAACTTAGTCTGCCGGGCGTGGTGGCTCATACCTATAACCCAGCACTTGGGAGGTAGAGGCAGGCGGGTCTCTGTGAGTTCAGACCAGCTGGGGCTATAGGGAGATTCTGTCTCAAAAAGACAAAAAAAAGGGGGGGCGGGGGTTACACATTAACTTAGTCATTTCTTTTTAAAATTAAAAAACTTAAATTATGCATATAAGTGTTTTACCTACATGTAAGGGCACCATCTATGTGCAGTGTCCATGGAAGCCAGAAGCTATCACATTCCCTGGAACTGGGGTTAGAATGGTTGTTAGCCTTCATATGGGTGCTGGGAACCGAACCCAGGTCCTCTGCAAGAGCAGCCAGTGCTCTTAACTGCTGCTGAGCCATCTCTCCAAGTCCCAAGTGTTCTTGTTTTTATGTATCAGTTCAAAAATGAATTTAATTAAAATCTTTTTTAAATTAATCAAAGTATTTATTGAATATTTGAGGAAGAAAAATTATAATCGTGCTTAGAATAAGAAACAAAATGTGTAGCTGTACTTTCTATGTCTTCTGTGGGCTTCAGCAAGTACATCTTCTTTGGAACATTTCTCTAGCACAGAAATTTAAAATACCTGGCCTTGAACATATCTAAGATAGTCTCTTGGGCCAAAGCCACTGTGCTAAGTACTGTCATCAGTCAACAGTTCTCAATGAGTATTGCTGCTTGAGATCTTAGTACTGCTGATATTTTTCCATTATTCTTTATTATGACTGTATCTTATTTTAGTGATTGGGGAATTTTCATGGAATTAGAGTTCAAGGACACAGTTAAGTTACTGTATGAGCAGTTTAACCTTAGTACCATAGAATCAATCCCCAGAGCCCGCCAAACAACTGACAAAACCTGTATCACATTACCTGGATAAGATCAGAAAAGACTTTGCAAATCTAACCTGAGTTGCTTATCTTTTTTCTGTTGAAATGCTTATTACTCTAGTCTGAATGTTGACAATTTGCCCACTTATTATATATGGGAAGCAGCATATTCTGGTAACATTAAGTGATAAATGTTTAAAGAAAGAAAAATGAGCCATGCCATACATTAAAATATAAAGAATATCCCAAGTAATGAAAACTTAAAATGTGCTAGAGGGCTGGGGAAATGACTCAGTTGGGAAAATTCTTGTTACATAAGCCTGACAATTTGAGTTCAGTTGGGAGTCAGGAGGATCCAGCTAATCAACCAGGTAGATGAGCTCCAGATTCAGTGAGAGACTCTCTCATAAAATAAGGAGAAGAAGTAATTGAGGAAGAGTCTGGACATTGACCTCTGGCTTCTTCATGTATATACTGAAACACACACATACATGTTTATCCACACGTGCACACACAAATATATGCATATACTGTACACATACATATGCAGTGTGTTATACTTTTGTAACCAGGCATTTTTAATAAAAATGGTGGGGTTTGGTTGGTTGGTTAGTTAGTTGGTTGGTTGTGTGTGTGTGAGAGAGGGAGGGAGGGAGAGAGAGAGAGAGAGAGGAGAGAGAGAGAGAGAGAGAGAGAGAGAGAGAGAGAGAGAGAGAAAGAGAGAGAGAGGCTCCCTGTAGCTTCAGGTAGACTTCCATGTCACAGTTATCTACCTGCCTCTGCCTCCTGAGTGCTGGGATTAAAGGCATGTACCACCATACCTTGCTAATAAAAATGTTTTGAAATAGTTTTATAAGGTGAATTTTCTCATCCCCACTATAGGTGGTAAAAATAGGGATATAAGGAGGGTTGGCCAAAGGAGCCAGACTTTGTTAGTAGTAGAGCATACTTTGGCAGTCTGACTCCAATTCTTATATGCCCTTAATTCTTATACTAAAATAATCTCTATTTAAAAAAGTAAATTGTAGGAAAAGAATAGTTATCAACTAAATTAAACTTTTGAAAAAATGTTTCAAAAGTGTTTGTGAATGACTTTCACTTTTAGTTTATGACATGGAGAATTAAAGATGATATTTTATGAACCTATGCAATGTGCTTAGGATTTAAAAGCTATTAAAAACCTTACAGGTAAAGGTTTTATTATTCACTTAGAATGATCTTCACATGCTAACACTCATTTGCATTTCTCAGCTGTCATCCATCCCAGGTCTAGAAGATGTTACAGTTGAAGTATCCCCTTTAAGTGTCACTAGTGTCACAAATGGATCACATTCTGAAACTACTTCAGAACAACCACGAGTAAGTATTTGCTTTCCCGAGAAACATGAGATCTGGGTTGAATCTGATAGACTTGTACTTAGGACATGCTAACACTCATTTGCATTTCTCAGCTGTCATCCATCCCAGGTCTAGAAGATGTTACAGTTGAAGTATCCCCTTTAAGTGTCACTAGTGTCACAAATGGATCACATTCTGAAACTACTTCAGAACAACCACGAGTAAGTATTTGCTTTCCCGAGAAACATGAGATCTGGGTTGAATCTGATAGACTTGTACTTAGGTCTTAGAAGGAAAAAGTTGAATAAAAATATGAAACTTTTTTTAAGTTTTAAAACTTTATTATTTTTATTTTATGTGTATCAGTACACTATGTGTGTGTATTTAAGTGCACTCATGTCATGCACTGCCCACAGGGGTCAGAAAAGGGCAAAGGACCTAGAACTGGAATTACAGATGGTTGCTAGTCACCATGTGAGTGCTGGGAACTGAACCCGGGTCTTCTGCAAGAGCCGCCAGTGCTCTTAACTGCTGAGCCATCTCTCCAGCCCAAAAATGTGAAACTTTTAATCATCAAAATATAAATCATTAAGATACAAAATAAATTTTGAGGAAGAAAAGCTATTTTATTTTGTTATTTTGAAGGATTTCCTGTAATGTTTTATTTCCCTATCGAAAAATTCAGTCTACAAACCATCCTTAACTCCAGCTCCAGGGGAATCCGAAGCCCTCTTCTGACCTCCGCAGCATTGCACAACATGCAGGCAATATGCTTATACACATAAAATAAAAATAATAAATATTTTTAAAAATTCAGTCTAGACAGAACTATGGAAAACCTTAAAAAAGATTATTTTCTTCCAAGTTCACTATAAAAAAATTCAGTCTACAAACCATCCTTAACTCTAGCTCCAGGGGAATCCGAAGCCGTCTTCTGACCTCCGCAGCATTGCACAACATGCAGGCAATATGCTTATACACATAAAATAAAAATAATAAATATTTTTAAAAATTCAGTCTAGACAGAACTATGGAAAACCTTAAAAAAGATTATTTTCTTCCAAGTTCACTATAGAAGTTTCTAAGTTCTTATAAAAATGTACTTTTATTATAAAAAAATTAAGCATACAAGACTAATACAATGAACATTTAAGTGCCCATTAACCAAATTAGGATTTTTGTCACATTTGCTTCATCATTTTGTGACTTGCTGAAATGAACCCCAGGCATGTTGTCATTTTGCCCTTATATAATTCTTTGAGCATCTCAGAAGTTTTTTGTACGTGATTTTAATCATATACAATATAATTAAAAGTAATTCTTTGCTATCACTTAACTCTCGGGTCACTCACAGTTTGCCTCGTGGACTAGCTGTTTGGAATATCACCTGGGGACTCTCCAGGAATGAAGAATCTGAACCTCCACACCAGAAACTACTGAATCAAAGCTTACATTTTAGCAAGACCCTGAGATGATTTATAGGCTCTTGAAATTTGAGTAGTGCTGATCTTAGAAGTACCGATTAGCCTAAAAGAGAGAGAGATAGAGAGAGAGAGAGATAGTGTATATATGTGTGTGTGTGTGTGTGTGTGTGTGTGTGTATGTACATATGTAGTTTTTTTCTCTTTTTGGTGGGGGGTACTGGTGTTTGAACCCAGGGCCTCATGTATACTAAACAGACATGCTACTACTGAAATCTATCCCCAACCCTTTTTGCATTCTTTATTTTTAGATAAGGTCTCATTAAGTTGGCCAGGCGGGACTTGACTTGAACTTTCAACTTTCCTGCCTCATCTTCCTAAGTAACTGGGATTATAGGTTTGAGCATATAGTTGATTTGTGCAAATCAGCATCTTAGTAAGAGCCAGTCCTTACCCTTGACTCTTGTGTCTTAATATTCTTTTATGCATTTAGAGTTTTTACTGTTTATTTTAAAGATCTCCTTTAAATAGACATGTCACTGAGGCATTGAAATCTGAAATAAGATAATTGCCAAAATGGCAACCCACTAAAATAACTGACCAAATAGACTTCATATTTAATTGAATTTTGTAAATAGGGTGTTTTTAAGTCATAATGATACTGAAAATGAAGTTAGTAGCTAATACTTAAAAGAAGCTTACTATGTGCCAGGGCATCTTCTAAGTGCTTTATTTTTTATATAATTGAACTCAATCCTTCAGCAGTCCTATGTTCCAAGTATAGGTGGCCCTCTGTGCTCTTGGATTCTAACTCCACATCTTTGTATTCACGCAATCACAGATTGACAGTATTCAGAAAAATAAATTGCATCTATAATGAACATGTGCAAACTTTTTTCTTCATTATTATTCCCTAAACAGCGTGACTTTTTACTAGCATTTTCATAGTATTAGTTACTAGAAGTAATATAGAAATGACCTAAAACTTACAATAGGGAACAGTAGGTTAAATCAGACATATGTTGTAATGGAGTTTTAACATGGCAACACTCAAATATGGGCTGCCCTTTTTCTAAAATAAGATATCTGTAATGAATATTAAGTATTTCCATTCAACCTAGTAGTTATTTTTGGATGGATACAGTCATCATATTTATATAAAGATTTTTACTTTGAATATCAGTTTTTTCCTCAGGTGCTTTTATGAATGCAGTCTGCAAGTTAGACCTTTATGTTGGTCGCTGCTTATTTAAAGTCCCAAAATATGGATTGCATTTCCCAAAATCACATCTGAATTTCTTAATTTGTCCTGCAGATTCAGAATCACCTAATATATATCTGACAGTTTTGGAGTTGTAAATTAATTCATTTCGAGGATTTGTGAAGTTTTGTTGACCTGGATTTATAAATTGTTATAGAATTTTGTGTTAATCAGCTTAAAAACTGTTCAGCATGTCAACATTCAAATTAACTTTGCTTTATATAGTTTCCATTGATACTACGTCATTTCAATTATTAGAAAATGGATAATTACACACTTGAAAAATCATCCATTTAAACTGGGTATGGTGGCACATACCTATAAATCTAGCACTTGAAGGCAGAGGCAGGAAGATCAGAAGTTCAAGATCATACTTGGCTAGATAATGAGTTGTAGGCCAGCCTGCGCTACATGAGGCCCTATCTCAACACAAAAGCAAAAAAACTCATTTATCACTGTCTCTATATATGAATCAAAACTCCAGTTTTTATATACTGGTTTTTATGCAACTTTAATTTCACGGCTCAGATCATATCACTGTTCACAATAGAATAGCTAATTATACAGACTGAGATCAATTTGAGAATAAAATGAAGGGCAGTTGAGAGATAAGAGACTTAATAAGTCATTTATATAAAGGTGTAATACATTACATAATTAAACCTTGTGAGGTCTTGGTTATTAGGTGCAGGTTAAAGAGCTGAAAGATGAAAACTGGGATAGAATTCTCATTTGATCCATTGGGCTTTTGGATGAGTTATGCATAAAGATTTAAAAATTTTACTTGAATTTTATTTTTGCTTTTTATTTAATTAGCAATGTTTTGGGCTTGTATGTAAGTGTTTTGCAAATGAGTGTGTGTGTGTCACACACACATACACTCACTATTTGCTTTCATAACATTTAACAATATTATGTAATAGGAGAAACCATAAAAATTTTTGTGTATTTTATTGCAACAGTTTTTAAAGATTTAGTTTGCATATAAATTACTGTAGAAAAAAACCTTAATTTATAAATATAATTCATGTTCATATTCTAAAGACAAGATTTAAAAATATTTATCAACATTGTAGCACAGATACTATAGACACAAAACTAATTGCATTTGTAAAAGAAATTCCCTGTAAAGCAATTCAGATACTGAGTGAGATTTATAACTCTATTGACAGTGTTACTGGTAATAACTGCCTCAGCAACACCTGAAATTTACAAAACCAGAGAAGCTGGGTTTTCCAGTCAGTCTCTGGGCATTGCTTTCTGAAAAGTTAAAATCACGCTGTTCATGTAAAATAAGATGATTTAATAAATGAGGCATTCGGTAGGATAGGATAGATGATAGATACCTAGGACAGCAACTCACTATTCATTGGTTGAACAGTCAACAAATCATATAGTTTTATGAGTTTCCTGATATATCCGCCGATGATTCATACTTCATTCCAGCACCTTGGGGACAAATAAGGCAGAATTAAAGTTTTGGATGGCATGAATACAATACATTTACATTTTAAGTAACCATGTACTATTGATATTAAGTATAGCTTCTATATAGTTATAGATATTTGGAAACATATATCCCACAAATTATTGGTATTTAAATGTAAGAATACAATTCTTTTAATATTTATTGCCTTATAATTATAAAAAGAAACATCCCTCTTAAGTAACATTGTCTAACAATTTACACAAAATACTTTCTACAGCAGAACAGTACACAAGAGTCTGGACCACAGGAAAGTGAAGTGTCATCAGAAAATGTCTTAACTGTAGCCAAGGATCCAAGATATGCCAGATATCTCAAAATGGTTCAAGTGGTAAGCTAATTGGGTCTGTCTTCTCTATCTAGCAGCCTCATTTGAAATTCTTAACCCTGGTGGCTTCGTTGTTATTTTTCAGTCAGAGAAAACTACTAAACCAAGTGACCAGGTTTTTTAGGATCCTACTTCTTTCCTGTTTCATTAATGCATTCATAAAAAGAAACTAGAAGTCAAATCTTTCTCATTAAAATTGATTGCACTTCAAGTTGATATAGGTTTTGTCTTTTTTTTTCTTTTGCAAATAGTGGCTGTATCAGAATGAAATGTAAGGGGACTGTTCGTCTGGTAAATCATATACTTGAACTTAATTCCCACATGCTAGTGTAAATATGGCTTCCAAAAATATTTTATTCAGATGTTTATATGCCAATGATTTGGTTTATAAAAAAAAGAATACAATTCTCTTGGCTATATAAGAATGCTATTAATATTATATACCTTTAGGATTTTGTTCTAAGAAATTATAGTGGTATATAATATAAAAGCTTTTCTCATTGTCCATAGTAGCAGAAGTGAATTTCCTTTCATGCCTCTAGAAAGCCTACTATAAGTGGTTGAGTAGAGCCAACTGACTAAAAAAAAATCAGCAGAGGGAAATGAGTGCTTTTATATTTTATTATAAGGCAAAAAAAAAGTACTAAAGACTAAAGAACAGGTTTATTTTGCTGTCCGTGGCATTTTTTTAATCCCCCAAATAATAAAGGCAAATACTGCTGTCTGGCACCAGAAAGAGCAAATTGGGTGATTCAGAGGCTGCAGTGCTCGTATGAAGGCTAGAAAGCCACGTTCACATGCTCTGGGTGTCAGATTTGTCACTTCCAGAATTCTTTGTTGACAGTCGATATCTGACCTCTAGGTTTCCGAAATAAGGTGGGCTTTGGAATTAATACATACATTTTTAATAAGAATAAAGAAGAGTCTGTTTGAATATGAATCATAATCAGTACATATTTTAGAATTCAGGAAATACTAAGTTTGAAGGATAAATTGTAGAAATGTGCTTGACTTAAAAAATATTTTATTATTTTTATTTTATATGTATGAGTGTGTTGCCTACATGTAAGTGAGTGCACCCATGTCGTGCAGTGCCACGGAGGTCAGAAGAGGGCTTCGGGTTCCCCTGGAACTGGAGTTAAGGACGGTTTGTAGCTTCCATGTGGGTGCTGGGATTCAAACCTCTGCAAGAGCAGACAGTGCTCTTAGCCACTGAGCTATCTCTCCAGCCCCTCTGTGTGACTTTCAAAAAAAAGAAAAGGCTTCAAAATGATTCATAAAACCTTTTTATGTTAGTCTCTTCTGGACTAACCACTATAAGATAGGAAATAAGAAAATCTACTTGAATGCCCCAAAATCTTTCATTAAATACTATATAATATTTAGTATGATGCTGTATAGTTGACCCTGTTTATCCCTAGGTCCACTTTCCACAGTTTCAGTTAATCACAGTCAGCCTTCATCTGGAAACACTGAATGGAAAAATTCACAAATAAGCAGTTCATACATTTTAAATTGTGTGCTGTCCTGATGCCATCTCACCTGGCATGTAAATCTCCCTTGTCCATTGTATCCATGCAGTGTGCATGGCTCATATATCCTGCTATTAGTCATCTCAATTTTCAGATCCCAGTTTCCAGTACTCTGCATTTTAGGTATTATACCTCCTGCAGACAAGGTAGGGCACTACACTGTCCACTTATGATTAAACACTGAGATTATTATATCAGCAAGCCAACCAAGATTCCCAAATGCTACTTGCAATTTTGATTTTTGTTAATTACTTAAATAAGTTCCATTGCTTTCGTGTTGTGTGTGTGTGTACAATGATCCATTAATTGCTAATTTTTCTAATCATGTGGCCTACTATATCACTAGGTATAAAAGCCAAAGTTCTTTACAGGCCTATGAGGAAGAGCCCTCTAGATCAGCTGCCCTGTTACCGTTCTGATCTCATGACTCCATTCCCTCAGCTCCAGCTTTTCTTGAATGAATGTTTGGTCAGTCTCCCCTTTAGGTCTGTTCATCATTTATTCATTCTGCCTGAAATGCCTTTTCCTGAATAGCTTCATGGCTTGCTCCCTTTTTCCTTCAAATCTTCATTCAAAATCTTGCCTTCTCAGTGAGGCCTTCCTTGGCCACCCTCCTTTAAGTAATAATGTCTCTGACTTAGTTCCATTAATTATTTCACTGCTATTCTTTTCAGAATGAGAAAGTTGTAAAATGCAGGTTCCTGGGCTCATCATCCTAAGAATTAGAATCTCTACAGTTAGAACTTGAAGCCAGACCATATGTATTTGTAAAAATGGTCTTTTGATTAAAAATTATTATTAAATCTTCTCAACTATGAATACCATATGTTTTGATTTTAAATCATTGAAGAGAATAAATATTTTATTAAGAAAAAGAAAAGAAAGAACACCTTAACTTTCTAGCAGTTCTTGAGACTTAACTCTAGACTACCTTTTTTGGCTTCTGTCCTTAAATGTAAGCAGGGGTTCAGTTTCATCTTTCTCATTTCTACTTTTAGTCAGGTTTCCATGTTTTCAAGCTCCTGTCTCCTCCAGCCTCTGTGCGCTGTTGCCGAGTTGCCAGTTGCCAGTCTTTCCAGGTTTTGGAAGGACTTCTCCGAGCATCTCCTCTTGAGACACGTGGACTCCTTCCTCCTCTGCCTAGCTCATCAGTCATCCTCTCTGTTTTTAATTTTCAGACATTGTGGTTCCTATGTACCTCTTAGTCACTGAAGTTAGAGGTTATGTTCTAATTGTTTGGGGGTGATTTTCAAGAAGAAAGAAACAATATCTTTACACTGCCATCCTAAAACTGGAAGTTCATCCAAGTTAAATTTAATTTTATTGTTTTTAGTTTATTGTGCCAACCTGTATCCCAGATTCTTATTACCCAACTTTTATTTCCTACTGCTCCCTGTCCTGAATTCCATTCTTCATTCAAACCAGACCACAAATCCTTCCTCACATAAGCTCAATGCTTTTCCAGCTCTGAATCTAGATTCTGCTTCTGTTAATTACTCTGCGGCCAAATTCTACGCCTCTAACGTATTCTGAGGAGTGCTTCTGTCAAATCATCCCAGATTCTGAACCTACCAGTATGTAAAGCTGAAACAATACCTTCTTTCTTTGACCTGCCCAGCCATTTTTCTGTATTCCTATGGCTATTTGTACATATTTTTATATCCTCAGTCAAAAGGGGAGCCATAAGAGGAAAAGCAGTCTTGGCTAATTCTTGTAGCCACTTTAGCACCATAAAGCTTCTCAGTCAGTACTTTGCAATGCACTGTGTAATGCTGTCTGTCTGCCTCTGCTCCAGGGTTAAGTCACATGGAAATGCATAATTAGCACCCTTTTCTTCAAGATACTGATTTTAAATATTTTGTGGGACCAAACCAAGATCGCACCTAGTAGAAGTGTCCCTTAACATTAATCTGTGAAGTCCATGTAAATACTTTTTCATGTTTCTTAAGTATGTTAGTCAGCAGCTGACAAAATTGGAAGAGGAGGAGGAGTAGATGACGTTACACCTGCTTCAGGAATGAAGTCATTAGAGACTGCTGCCATCTGAGTATTTAGTTATCATTGACAGAAGAATCTAGACAGGGCCTGTGATCCAGGGAGGTGAAATGCCTTCCTATTTCCTGTTGTTTATTCTCCTTAATTAGTTCAATTCCTTGTGAAACAGAATTCACAGGTCTATAGATAAAAAGATAAATGTATTTGTAAATTGCCTTATCTGTAGGTGAGAAGTGCTTTGCTTTGCCCCAAAGTTCGGAGATTTCATTAAAATGCCTTATTTTTCTCAACTTCAAAGGGTCACTAATGGTTTGCTTTTCTAGGGATATTAATGTAGAGAAAAACTGATGTCAACATAATTCACTCACTGAATTTGACTTGGGTATAGACACAGCCTTGAATTTTTGACGCCTGTTGTCGACGTTACTGTAGGCCATTGAAGCAGCCTCAGAAGCCTGACAGCTATTAGGGAACTGTTGGTGTTAACAAAGACAGAGAAAGCTTGGCCTTTAAAAAAAATCAACAAAGCCTGTCTTTAAGGGGAAGAAAAAATCACTGTATTTATACAGCAGTATAAAAATCTATTCCTAATATCCTACAATTTACATATTTATACTCTCAAGGAATTAACAATGCTACAAAGCCTCTCACCTCCTTGGACAATACTGTTTTATTTCTTTTTCAGTGTCATTGTGTTCTTATAACTCCAGCTGTGCTGAGTTTCTCCTTTTCCGAAGTATAGTGGTATTCCACTCAGTAGCTTCCTGAATACTGAAAAAGCTCCTCAGTAATCTTAAAGTCTTTTCCCCTGCCTCCTTCCTGAATTTAAAATCATTTCATCCTCTATAGTAAGACAAACAGTGGAAAAGTATTTCTCAGGCCCTTTCAGTGTTTTCTCTAGTATAAAAGGCTTAAACTTGCAGACCCGTGTAGTGCTCATTCACTTCAGATAGGAAGACCTAGAAAGTCCTACAGATTGCAAAAGCATTCAGCTTTTATTTTTACACTCCCTCCAGTAGTAAGGTGTACTATACTCTTTTGGGGCATCCTCCTTAAGATGCCATGAAAATAGTGTCTTCCCAAATCCTAGCTGTCTCTGGGAATGTATTGCTTTGATAGTTGCCCTGCCTTACATGTCACATTGCTGTTAATCTGCTTTAAAGCTTGATAATTTAAACTAATTAATATAAATTCCTTTGAACAGAAACCAGAACAGTTGTTTATTTGTTTCACAAGTCCCAGTTCACAGAGCAGTGAATAACCTTGCTTTTTGGTCTCCACACCTTATTTTGGGTACACTTAGTTACTGCTGTCTAGGAGAGATAAGAGTGATTCTGTTGCAGAAAGTAGTTGCTGTTCTGGGAGTCAGAGTGCCTGCAAGCACGAACAGATATTTTCTCTGGGCATCTGAAATTCACCATGGTGTAGCTTCCTGACTGTGTGCTTGTGTGGCCGTATTCAAGGCTTGTCACCCTCAAGGCTTTAGCTTCCTTGTGCATAAATTGAGAGCTGAAGTTTCTTCTAGGTTATGATCTATTAACAAGTCCTCAAATTTGGTCTTCCAATTAATGAAAGTTCCTGGAACACCTGCTGGCATTTTCTGATTTTTTTTTTCATTTTTCAGTAAGTTTTACACAAGATTTTTCAGTGAGTAATACTATTTTATTCCAAATGTGACAGATAATTGATTCTGATTTAATGTTTGTTACCATAATAGTGTAGCACCAGCCTCTGCTAAATTACATACTGCTTTTATAACTTAACTGGAAGAGTGTACATAGATCACTTTTCCAACAGTTCTCCCCTTTTTACTGGCAGAGCTTGGTGAATCTTGTGCCAGTAATAAATTGTGCATTGGGAAAGCCCTACTTCCACATTAAGGAAGCTAATGACTTGTACTTTTTGAAACCATATTTGCCAAAACAGTCTCTTCAGACACTTAGACTTTTTTAAAGCTCTGTTTTCTTTGGCTTGCTTAAAATGTGAATTGAATAATCTCTTTGGTTCTGGTGGCTCTTTGCATCCGTTGCCAGCAGTGGATGTTGGCCTAGAGAGATGTGACTTCCATTACCTAAGGATGCGGAGGCTTTAAATGACTATTTAAGATGTTCATCAAAAACCCTTACACCTTGGACCTGGTTAAAGTAGTCAAGCATGCAGCAGTGTGCTCTCTAGATGGCAAGCAAGGTATAGAATGAGTGATCCAGACCCCCCACTCCCCCCACCCTTATTTTAGATGAGTACATTGGAGCTTCTGATGGTCTAGAAAACTGTAGATTCCTTATCACTAGGCAGCAGTGTAGCCAAATGGAAGAGCTACTGGTTCATAGGCAATCCCAGCTGTCAGAGCACTGGTACAGATTTAGTTTAACAAGTATATGTTACTTCTTTTTCATTTTTAAGCTTTATATATGAATATTCTTTTTATAATACCTGAAGTTTACTAGTCAGCATTTTCTAAGTGTATGAAGATGTGTAGGCTGAGGAGACAGTCTCACACTGCTCATTGAAGGTGAAAGATGTACATTCAATGACTTGAAGGGTTTTCTGCTTCCTATCAGCTAAGTGATCACCAGGTCAATTTGACTACAAGTAAGATACAGACCTTTGCAGAATAGTAGACTTCGTGAGTAGAAACTGAGCTGGAAAGAATGGGACTTGAGGGGCCTCTCAGAGCCTCTTTCCTCTACGTTCTAAGTATGAGAAGCTTTGGATAGAACGTGCCCTTAAACAGAAAACTTGATGGTTACCTGCATTGTATTACCTGTCCTTCACCATGGCTTCATATCAGAGAACCTACAAAGAAAACTTTCTGTCATATTTTTGATAAATATAAAAATTACTTATTCTTTGCTAAAGTCAATGAACTGGTCTCTAAGAAAACTATGTGAAGAATTATGATTTTCAATCATTTTGATTGTCTTTTGAACTCTGCATTTTGCCTTGAAATTTCAGGAGCTCAGAACAAATCATAGTGTCTCTAATGTTAAGCATTCTTACTGGTTATGGTGGCCCAGGTGTATAATCCCAGCACCTGGAAGGAAGATCACAAAGTTAAGACTAGCTTGGGCTACATAGGAGATCCACATCAGCCTGGACTATATAATGAGACTCTGTCTCCAAAACAAATATGAAACAAAAAAGTCTTTAAAATATGTATTTACCTTTTTATGTACTTGGGGTTTGTTTTTTTTAACTTATTTTTTTCTGTGCTGGGGATTGAACCAAGGCCTCCCACATACTATGTAAGAGCTCTACCACTGAATTAGATCCCTAACTTTTTTTTTTCACTTCAGGTTTGTTTTTTGTTTTTTTTGAGACAGGGTCTCACTGAGCTTCCACACTGGCCTTGAATTCACTCTGTCAGCCAGGCAGGCCTTGAACTTACCTTCCTGTCTCAGCCTCTCAGTAGCCAGGATTATAAGCCTGTGACACCAGGCCTACCATTGTTTATTCCTTTTTTAAAAACTTTTTTCTGGTCTACATAGTGAGTTCCAGGTCAGCTGGGGCTACAGGGAGACCCTGTCTCAGAAAAGACCAAAAAACAAAAAAAAAAAAATTTTTTTTCTCATAAGCTTAGGTATTAGCAGTAAACACTGATACTAACTGGGGTTTTAGTATTCTTGTTTGAGCTAAGGTGTGATGAGGATAGAGATGGCAGGAACAGTTCATGCAGTAGGAGTTCCATGTAGCTACTGAAGTCTGTGTTGTCAGTGTCTGTCTGGTAATGTTGATGCCTCCCTGAATCAGTGTTACATACTTACTTGTACAGCTCACCATATGTTCATGCTCATGTCATATTTTTCACTGTAGACACCTTTAAGTGGCATTTGATTTCATCAGAGTGTGAATTTGTGAATAATTTGTTTCTAGAAACTAATTGTTTGCCATATATTTTTATTTATGGTGTTTAATGTGTTTAGAAAATGTATTTTGAATTGTGAGCCTCAGGAAGGATTAATTCTCAATCACGTGAAGAGAGGTCACGTGTCAACAAGCTGGTGTAAATAGATGCCAGTCTCCATTTCAGAGAGATGTTCGGCTAATACACTCAAGTTTTAATTCTATATTAGGTGATTTAAAAGTTAATTTCCATTAACTAGTAATTTGGGGCTTGGGTTACAGGAAACCCTGTCTCAAAAAGACCCCCCCAAAATTTGGGGGCTAGAGATGGCTCAGTGGCCAAGAGCAGAAGAGCACTTCCTGCTCTTGCAGAGAACTGGAGTTTGGTTCCCAGCACTCATATCAAGTGGCTCACCACCCATAATTCCAGGTTCGGGGATCCAGTGCTCTTCTGGCCCCTGATGGTACCAGCAAATATGTGCTTACACACACATAAATTAAATATTTTTTAAAGTTACTTAAGTACAAAGTAAGAGAATAGAAAACGAAAAGCAATGTTAAATATATAATGGAGGGCCAGCAAGGCGGTTCAGTAGTTAAGGCCATGTTGAAAGGAGGGATCCCAGTCTGAAGGTGTTCCTCTGACCGCCACGCATGCACCATGGTACAAATTTAGGATGCTAAAATTTCAAAATTGGTTGTTCTTAAGTATAAAAGTATGTATGATAGGAATGTCTGTATTCATGAAGTCATCAGATTGTTGTCCAAATGGGATTATAATTAAAATAGTACATAGAATATAGTGCCCGAAGCAGCTCTTTCAAGTCAAAATATTTTTCAGTTAATTTTGCTTCAGTTGTCTTAAATTCACTATGACACAGTGTGTCCTTCTCTCCATATAGAAAAAGCACAAGCAAACTTTCAGAAAGTTAGTTTAGAGTAACTTTAAATTTCACAGGCATTTCCTTTAGGTGACATAAAATGTTAACAAAGTATATTAGCAGAATAATATCTTAACTTTTTAAAAATATTTTTTATTTATTATTTTTATTTTATGTGTATGCGTGTATTGCCTGAATGTAGGTAAGTGCACCTGTGTTGTGCGATGCCCGCGGAGGACAGAAGAGGCTGTAGGATCCCCAGGAACTGGAGTTACAGACAGTTGTTAGCTGCCATGTGTGTGCTAGGATTTGAACTCAGGTCTCTGCAAGAACAGCCAGTGTTCTTAACCACTGAGCCAGCTCTCCAGTGCCATATCTTAACTTTTAAAATATTTTTATTTTATGTGTATGAGTGCATTGCTTGCATGTGTGTAAGTGCACCCATGTTGTGCAGTGCCCATGGAGGTCAGAAGAGGGCATTGGATTCCCTAGAACTGGAGTTACTAACGGTTGTTGGCTGCCATGTGGGTGCTGGGAATTGAACCCAGATCCTCTGCAGGAGCAGCCAGTGCTCTTAACTGCTGAGCCATCTCTCCAGCCCCCCCAAATATCTTCACTTTTAACTTTGTATAATTCAGTTATACAACTTCTTAGCTCTTTTGGAGATTGTGAAAAAGGACCAGCATCTTCTATGACAGTTCCTAAGGACATGCTTAAGAATATGCAAGTAACCATTAACATTGTGCTTGCTGAAGGCTGTGGGCCACTCTTTTACTCTGGTCTGCTTCAATTTTTCAGTGCCTTCCTCCCTTCTCACTTTTTGCCTCTGCCAGAAATAAGAAGGGACCACCCATGATAGTTTTCTTCTTGGTGAGGAGGAAATAATAGTCATCAAACTCTGAGTAGTTACTTCCTTAGATTTACTACTTTTAGAAATACATGTTCACCTTAATTGCTAATTTGTTTATCTAGCAATCTGGTTAATTTATGAAAGACAAAATCAGGACTAGAAAACCAAATGAGCTGTAATAAGGAAGCAGGTTCACCTTAGGAGGGAAAGAATTGCCTGTCAGAAGATGATTTGTATTTACTGAAAAATTTGATAACACAGAGCAGCATCTTTTATTTTTCCTAGCCCAAGGTCACAAATTATCTTTAATTAATTGGTTAGACTAAGGACTGATGACATATCGTTACCAGAGTCAAGGCCCTTCATTGTAGTTCTGTAGCCCCCACAGATACCTAAGCCTGATCATCTTTCTTTGAGCATATATGGATTCCCAGGGGAAGAGAATGAGAGAGTCATCATAATAGAGCTGTTCCGGTACCTACCCCTGTTGGGAAATTAACTCAAAAGTAAATATTCTGTTATTTAAATCACTATAGCTATTTTTTTTTGCTATATTTAGAGATGTCACTTTAAATCTAGTTCAATAATGGGTGCATGAGTAATGGTTTTAACATCTTAAGTTATTATACTCTTAACTTGAATAGCAAATTCTAAAATGATTTTCGAAAAATTCTTCAAGAACTAGAGAGATGGCTCAGTGTTTAAAAGATGTACTACTCTTGCAGAGGACCCAATTTTGGTTCCTGGCACCCATGTTAGGAGGCTCACAAGTGTCTATAACTCCAGGATATCTGACACCCTCTTCTGGATTCCCTGAACACCTACACTCAGGTACACATAGCCCACACAGACACAAACATGCAAACATTAACATAAAACAAATCTTTAAATAATTCTTTAGGACTTTTTATTCCTAGAAAGTAAACGTATAATAAAGCTTAGAAAATTAAAACAAATACATTTTAGAGAGCAGTGTCATCTGAGTGAAATGAGGTGATGGTTCTACCATTAATTAGTCTCTCAAAGCAAATACTAAATTCTGTATACTGTTTTTGCTTGGTAGTGAAGGAAGGAAAATGAATCTCCACAGCACCAAATCACTCTCAAATCCACAAGTATTTGAGTAGTTACAAATAAAAAGGAAACGCTTTCTGTACTCTTCTGATCATTAATACATAAAAGTTATTATGTTACAAGTATATTTTATGGAATATGGAAGGTGTTGGTCACGTGGGAATAGTGATGCAACTGTGTTTTAAGTTGTCTCAATAATAGATTCCTACCTTTTGGAAATAATTTCCTTAAAGTTTTTGCTTCATAGGCATTCAGGTTAACTTTAATTCCTCATTCCTAGAAGGTACAGCCAGAACTGCTAAAATATATTTATTTTATGAGTAAAGTAACAGTAATTTCCCTACCAGCTTTCTGGGGCTCTAAGAATAGCTCATATGGTTTTTGTTCATTTTCTCATGTGAGTTGTTCCTACATTTTTAAAGATATCTGAAGATGGGCTGGAGAGATGGCTCAGCAGTTAAGAGCACATACTGCTCACAACCATCTGTAACTCCAGCTCCTGGGGGGTCCTACACCTCTGGCTTCCATAGGCACAGACACCTATGTGCACACAGACACACATATAAAGTTGTCTGATGGCAGCCAGTGAGAAAGTACTTCTTACTAAGACACTCATATCCTAAAATAATTCTTTAAAAAGAAATAACTTACTGTTGCCTTCCATAGAAACCACTGTGTTCAGTAGTCGTCAGGATTTGTGACCCTCACATTTAGGTTCATGTTAAAAATACTTAGTAACAAAAGTATCCCCATTAATATCAGAGCAACATTTTCCAGATATGTACAAGTCTTTGTAATAAAACTTCATTTAAAAAAATATACATTTAAGTTAAAGTTTGCAGAAATTTATTTAAATTAATTTTATATTCCTCTACTAGAAATTTTCAGATTGAAAAATACCAGTGAGCATGTGCTTTTTTGTGTGTTACGATTTGATCAGCAAACAATTGTGTGTGTGTGTGTGTGTGTGTGTGTGTGTGTATGTATGTATATAAGACATTTTATCTGAAATTCTTACCCTCAATAGAGTGCCATACTGTTTTAGAAAATGAAGTCTGTTTTAAAAATAGTACTCTTAGCTGGCCATGGTGATGCATGCCTATAATTTTAGCACTCAGAAGGTGAAGGCAGGAAGATTAGGAATTCAGGGACAGCCTTAGCTACCTAGTGAGTTTGGGGTCAATCCTGGGTTATATGAAATCCTCTCTCAACTCGAACAAACAGCTGAACAAAAATAAATAAAAATAAAGCTTTGTCTCCCTATCAACTCAGTAGACTTTTATGACTATTGCTCTATGTAAAGAATAAACTTTGTATTTTCTACTTTTTACAACTTAATTATTGGATTCAAACTCATGAAATGAGAAAAAAAAAACCCTAAAATATAAGGGTTTATTTTTGTCATTTTTTATAAAAGCAAAGCCCTTCATCTCTGGTAAACTGATAGCTTTTTTTCCCCTCTCTAATCTAAAACTTTAGGAAAATTTCAACATGATTTTTAAAAAGACTTGGTAGCTTGGTTTTCATTAACACAATAACAAATATATGTAAATACTGGCAGGCTGTAAACTCCCAAACAGTTTTTGTGATATAAGAAACTGGTATTTAACCATTAGTGCTGCCATCATAATTTCATTAGTGTGGCTTCTTTACACACTTTCTCCAGTGACGCAGATACAGACATGATTTTTGGAACTTAAGACTTACGGCTGCCTTCTCTTTTCTTCATTACTTATGTTGGACAAGCTGCCATTACCACTTGCCAAAAAAAATTCCAAAGTTCAGTTTTGAGGTCTTTCGTGTTCTCTTTAGACCACCAGTAGCTTTGTCTCTTCATGATTGGAAATTGGGACACTTCTTTTTTGATGGTTAACAAATCAGACTGTTACTGGATGTCCAAGCAAGAATATAGCAAAACAACAGATTTTCTAAGCAGCTTCACTGGAAATGTAATAACAGATCCCTTTGGAATGCATCCTTTGGAACACAGGCCAAATTATCTTTTTTAAATCAAGTTTTTTGAGATTTATATTAAGGTATGATAATAAGTCTTTAGTAGGGCAAAATATTTGACGCTGGTTGTGGTTTCCTTTACCTACATCAACATACAGAAATGACTAAAGGCATTCTGAATTTTGGATATTTCTGTACTCTTCTGATGTAACCAGTTCCAAGAAAATAAGGTTAAAATATGGAACTTTACATTCAGATTTCTGTTACTCTTTTATTATAATCAGTTCCATGAATCTATTAAAGCAGGGAGCTCATCTGCTTCTCCCAACATCCCTGATCTTCATCCTGTATTTCCACTAACCTCCCCTCTATCCCAAACACACTTTGTTTGCTATATTTTAGGTGATGCTCTTTTGTTTTTTTAAAACCTCATTTCTCTTCCCTTCTGTTTTTTGGGCTTTGTAATTTATTTGTATAACCTTTCCAGCAATGTCCTGTGGATTATGCTAACGTATGATAAATAAATCACATAACTCATTTGTAGAAAGACCTTGTGCCATCAAATCATAGTAGAAACTGAGAGGCTGTTTGGTTGTGTGTGTTTGTGTGTGTGTTTTGTTTCTAAGAAATATGACGTGGGCTCTGTTCTTTTCCCTTTTATCCTTAGCATGTCAGTTCTTTTTTCAAATGTTCCAAATCCTTTCCTTCTGTTATTCTAAATAGTTAAATGACATTCAATTATCAAGTTAAATTTCCTTGTCATTTAACTTTCTCCTCTATTATTAAAATTAAATTAATTTTGTTATTAGTATATTTTGTTTTTATTTATTCTTGAGAATTTCATGCATATATGCAATGTAATTTGATAGTATCCTGACCCGCCCCACCCCCCTTTAATTAAACTCCTCCCAGAACCCCTCCCCCCACAACGCCCAACCTCACATCTTTTTTTAACCAACTAAGAATGGTTAGTGATGCTAGCACATGCATGGGTGTAGGGCCATCTGCTGGAGCATGGGCAACTACCAGGGGCAAACTACCATATCCCTGCCAAAAACTGGCTCTCCCCCAGCAGCCAGCAACTGCCAATAGCTCCTTTGTTAAGAGTTGGGCTTCATGAGCCCCTCCCCCATCCATGCTGGAATTTCCAACTGGCTTGATCTAGTGTAGGCAACCACAGCCTCTTTGAGCTCATGAGTGCAGTGACCCTGTCATATCCAGAAAACATGGTTTCACAGCAGTCCCCTCTACCCTCTGGCTCTTACAGTCTTTCTGCCCCTTCCACAGTGGTCCCTGAGCCTTGGTGGGACAGTGTGCTATAGATGTCCCATTTAGGGCTGAGCACTCTTCAGGTACTTATTCTCTGCACTTGGGCCACTTGTAGGTCTCTGTTAACTGCCATTTACTGAAAAAAAAAAAAAAAAAGCCTTCTCTGATGAGGGTAGAGAGCTATACTAATCTATTGTCTAAAGATAGTAAATTTTGGCTTTAGATCTGTTTTAATTCATCTTAGGTTTAGGAGTAGTGCTAATCTTACTTTTTGCTTATTCTACTTGAGGTGTAAGTCTGTTCATATTAAAGGAACTTTCTGTTTTTAACCCTCATTTGTCTTTCCATTAACTTTGTAAGTTATCAAAGACCAAGAGTTTCATCTTCTATTTTATCTTCCAGACCTGTCATAATTCACTTTTCAAAACACTGTATAACCTTACTTTATATGATGACTGTTTTAGGGGAATAGTTTTGAAGAGAATTCCAGATTGGTACTGTTGATAGTCATCCATGTAATATTTAGAATTCAATTAAGCAGGGATCCTTAAACTTTTATCATTTATGACCCCCTTTTGCTTGAGGATTTTTTACACAACCCTAGGCATATATGTACATATAAAACAGGTGTGTAAATCAAGCATTTATGGATAATGAATCATAAAGAAATTTTGTGTATATGCAAATGCCTATGTGTGTACCATGTGTGCAGAAGCCCACAGAGGCCAGAAGAGGGTATTAGATTCCCTGTACCTGGAGTTAAAAGTGGTTGTGAGTTGCCTCATGTGGATGCTGGGAACCAAATTGTGGTCCTCTGGAGTGCAGTGAGTGCTCTTAACCACTGAGCTGTCTCTCCAGCACAAACCATTTTTAGTGAAACTCAAGCCAGCAATTTTTAAAATCAAACATTCAAATACAATACAACCCCAAGTTATACTAATGTGGCACTTATATGCTGAGGATTGAGGGTAGGAAATTATGAAAAGTCTTTGTTTTCCATAATTAAAACACTATGTTTCTATAGGAGTAGAAATTCTTATATATACAACTAAAAAACACACTGCAGTTCATAATATGTAATGGTCTTGAATCCAACAGGGCTGTTTCAGGCAGAGTTCCTGCTGTTATGTGGTATAATGGCATGTGTAGAGCAAAATACACACACTATATGTTCTGAGCCAAGACTGCAGAAGAGTCACATGATGCAGCACAGGCACCACCAGAAATGCCTTGGTTCATCATGAACTTGATTGTGAATTCGTTTGGGGGTATATCACATTCAGAAGCCATTTATCATTGCCAAATTTTTGTGACGTCCACATTCAGTTATGTAGCCATGTGGGGTTTATTTATTCATCTAATGAGTTCTCTTTCCAAACAAATTTCTATCTATTTCCAATGTATCCTTTTCTTACTATTTTGATATTCTTATCCTGAATGTAGAAATGCAGGTTTCCAGATGGTTTTGCAACTTACCCTCCCATAGCTGTCATTGCTTCATGTTTGTAGTGGTGCTGGGAAGGTATATACTACATTGCTTGAATTCTGTGATCCTAAGATATGTAAGTGGAATTTGAATATTTGCTTATTACAGGAACATTTACATGGATGTATATTATTAAGCTTAATAAAGCTCTGAAACTGTTATCTTTATTTGCAAAGACATTAATATAGTTAGGTATTTATCCTATTAATTTAGTCAAATTTCTAGTCATTTGAGTTATCAGTGTTTTTTTTTTTCTTTTGGTGGGAATACGCTCCTCTGCTTCTGTACCAGTAGTAAGTAATGAGTAAGGTCATATAACTCAGTTTGGGTGTACATGGATTAGATAGTGCTAATTCCATCAGCGTATAAAATGAATTTGTTAGATTATTCAAGTGCTTTGCACATACTAACATAAAAAGCAAAGTAAGAACCACTTTAAATAATGGGCTGTCTCAATGTGTTGTTTTAGGTGGTATGTGGAAATACTAAAGGAGGCTTTTTTCTGAATTGTTACCTTCTGTCTTTTCTTAGGGTGTTCCAGTGATGGCAATAAGAAACAAAATGATATCAGAAGGACTGGATCCAGACCTCCTTGAGTAAGTAGTTTTTCTAGTAAAATGATACTGAAAAGATATGGGATTGTCAATTGTAACAAAAATATCTCAAGTTTGCGTTCTCTTTTTTCTAGACAGTATTTTATAGGTGACAATATTGTCTTCATAAACAATGCCTCTGCTATGTTAAAAAAGAAAAAGAAAGGAAATATTCTAGGCTACTAAAACCAGCTTTTGCACTTTTTAGAAGCAATTTCAGTAGCTCAGTGATAAATCTGGGTCAGAATTTGATGACTCAGTGTTTGTTTTCGCCTGTGCTATCTTTTGGCGGGGGGGTGAAGGTATCTACTGGCCTTTCATTTAAGACTGTGGTGTATAGAAAATTTATTCTACCATGACCTAGATTAAGCTACATCCTAGTCACACATTAATGTTTATGATGAAATTAAGTACCCATTTGTATAAGTCTTATAAAATAATTTTGAGAAATGCTAAGAAATCATGGCTCAGAACTTTGACAGTAATTCATTGCATAGAAACAAACATGGCTACATGGTTCATCCTGAATAAATTATATCTTAATGGATTCTTCAGAACTATTCTGTTTTGCAAGTATCCAGATACTTGTAACAAGTCTTTCCAGTTTGAGGTTTAGTTCACCCAGTGTTACTCTGGCACTCAAACTGTACGCATAGTATACTTTGACATTTTTCCTGGCTCCCAGCCCTTCAAGGAAAGATGTGTATTTTGGACATGAAGCATAAGCATCATCTCATATTTTCCCTTCAAAAACATGAAATTTAAGAATGTCTTTAAAGCGGGTGTCATGGTATATGCCTTTAATCCCACTACTCCGGAGGCAGAGGCAGGAGGATCTCTGTGAGATTGAAGCCAGCCTGGTCTGCATAGAGAGATTCAGGCTAGCTGGGGCTACAGGGAGACCCTCTCTCAAAAAAAAAAAAGCAAAAGCAAAACAAAAAGAATAAAGCCTCCAACAATTGTTTTCTAACCCTTATCTACATTTGGTGTATTTTCGAGTAGCAAATAATCACTACAAGAAAGACATGGCCTGGTAACGTGAACAAAAGCTTGTCTGCGATGTTTAACATTTACCTTGGAAATTGTTTCTGATATTTCAAAAGTCGAGGAATTGTGGCATATGTTTTAATAAGAACTGAACATTTGGGGTTTAATCTATTTGGGGATTCACTTTGTATAATTATAAATATATTTACCTTTGATTGTAACTTCTTTTTTCCTTGTGGAAATACACAAAATCCTAAATAATAAAGAGCTAAAACGACCTTCAAAATTATGACATTTCTCTGTAGAGAAAAGTAGAAACAGGAAATCCTGTGTCTATTGCTTTCCGGTGGTTTTGTTTCCGCCTCTGCCCACCCTAAGCCTAATTCACGGTCCTTTAATTCAACCAGCTGTTCACATTAGCAGTTTGAAAGTCACCTTGATTCTGACTCTGCCCTCTTCCCTATCCCTTACTGTACCAGTCACTATTATTTTCTCATCTTTAATATCACTTATATTTTACCACATGCCTCCATACCATTGCTGTTAGCTCTGGCTCTTCTCATTTCTCACCTCAGTTATTTATCAGAGTAGCACCTGCCTGTTTTGTTGTCATATTATCTTTGAAGCCATTCCAGTAAAGCCAAGTGGAACTGTCATAAGTTCATTCTTGATTCAAATTGCCTATGGCTCTCCACTGCCCTCAGCATGTAATGTCTAACTATTGCGTATAAATGCTTTGATCATCACATCCCATACCCTTTCTCTATCTGTGTCTCTTGCTACTTCTGCACATTTATTTTGACTAGTAGCAAATTACTTGCATTTCTCTGAATAAATCATCTTCCTATTTCCTTTTGGTATCTTTAAATGTTGTCTTTCCTCTCCTTGGAACTCCCTTCCCCATCTTATCCACCTAACTAACTCCTAATGTTCTTTAAGAGCCCATTAGGTATTGCAACCTTAAGAAATCTGTAGGTAGTAACCAGGGGGAGAAACCCACATACACACATTATGTTCTTATAGCTCTCTTAGCAAGTTGGAGTGTATGTCATTGTCTATAAATGTTGAGAAAATTCATTGGTGAGGTAGTGCCAAGTTTTAGGGTAGAATTCCAGTAACAGTTAACATGACCTTACAGAAAACCTGCTGCTCAACCACAGCCTGGAGACTGACTTCTGGCCCATTGCCTCATAAATACATGCCGTTGGTCACCAGGGGCACTGGCCGGAGTGGACTGACTCACTTAACCTGTCACCACTACTAGCAAACCGGTTCCAGCTACATTTGGTGCAACAAACCACCTTGTAAACAAAGGAATTCTGGCACTTTAGAATCACGTTTACATAGATGTTAGCATCACTTTGGGAAAAACATTTGAGGTGATGTACAAGAAGAAAATGTGCCAACGAAGGAGAGAGTGCAGTTTTATTTAGAGTTGTAGATACATAATAAGCCTCATCCAGGAACTTATGGTTCTTTTTAAAATATTTTTATTATTTTTATTTTATGTGTATGAGTATATTGTCTGCATGTATGTAAGTGTACCCGTCATGCAGTGTCCATGGAGGTCAGAAGAGTGTCAGATTCCCCTGGAACTGTAGTTAGGACAGTTGTTAGCCACAATGTTGGTGCTGAGAATCAAACCTGGGTCCTCTGCAAGAGCAGCCAGTGCTCTTAACTGCCGAGCCAACTCTCTTTTCTTTTTTATTAGCCTTAGATAGTAGAGCACTCATATAACTGGTAGAAAGAGTAGCTTACATCTGTACTGAACAAAGAACAAAAGTGAGGTTGATATAGAAATAAACGCTGATCCGTAAATATGTTATTGTATGGTTGACTAATGTATTGGAAGCTAAAAGCACAGTTTTAAGGTTAAGATGTATACATGATAAAATAGCCTGGCAGTTTTACTGGAAAAATGACTATCATCAAATTTTAGAATATCTATAAAACTGAAGAAAGTGCTTGAAATAATTACTTTTTTGATATTTTTAATTGATTTAGTTATTTTTAAAAATCCAAGTTTTTAAAATTTATTTTTTATTTTTATTTTATGTGTATGAGTGTATTGCCTGCATGTATATAAGTGCACTGATATTGTGCAATGCCCTCAAAGGTCAGAAGTAACTGGAGTTACAGATGGTTGTTAGCAGCCATGTTTGTGCTGGGAATCAAACCCGGGTCCTCTGCAAGAGCAGCCAGTGCGCTTAACCACTGAGCCATCTCTCAGCTAGCCTCCAAATCCAACTTTTTAAAAGTAACAATAGTTCTCACAGAAGCAAGACTGAATCCCCCTTAGCTTTTCAAAATTAATTTCTGTGCCACCTACACTAAAAGGTGTTGAATACTTTCGTCACTGTTGTTCTCAGTTGCGGGGGAGATGGAAATGTCCACTTCATCTTTGTTCAGAGGTTAACCTGCTTTAATGTTGCGTCCCAAAACACAAAATGGATAAACAGTGCTTTTAAGATTCTGTCAACCAATGCCTAGATTTCCTTACGAGGAAAAGTTTCACCCCATCCTGTCAGTATTCTCCATTTGTGTCTCAGAGCTAATATTATTATTACCTAGAAATTACTACTTCTGTGACTCTAGGATATACAGATTAACCTTTGGTCCTGCGAATCCCAAGAGATAAAGTTCATGGTGATTAGAGAAGGCTCAGGCTAAGCTGAACTAGAGACTTGAGGCAGTTTGGATTAGATTCTACCCTGCCACTTTCCAGCTGTGTAACCCTGGATTGATCAGCAAGATGAAAAATAGGGAGGTTCACCCCTGTTAGAAGTGTTCAGCCCAAGATCAGTAATGATGTAAGCACAACTCTGGACAAGCACTGAATGTTTAATAAATGTTAGTTGTGATTTATGAATGTTTTAATGGAGGAATATGTAGCAAATTCTAAACAATGGATTTACCAGGCTTTTGTGTCACAACTTGTTTATAATCCTGTAGTTGTCTGTATACCGTTGTTTTCAACAGACATATTTCATTCACACAGAATCTCAGCTTTTTAAATTATACTGTTTTCTCAGCCTGAAACTCTGTACTTTCAGTTATGTAGCAAAGTCCAGACTTTCCCCCCCATACTGGGGGTCAAACCCAGGTACCCTGCATGCTAGGCAAGTGCTGTTCTGCTGAGCTATATCCTATCCCAAGAGCAGACGTCTGAAATTGACATTCAGCTGCTCGCACTCTCAATCTAGGTATGCAGCTTATGGGTTTGAATCCAGAAAACATGCAGTAGAGCTCAGGTTAGCTTGCTGGCTTTGAACAGAGCAGCTCAGCTCAGCTAGCATGTGTCCTGGAGATAGCCATTCTAAGAACATTTATATTCTCCTCCCAAATGGTGGAATGCCTGCTCTTGGGTTTGGCAGAAATAAGAGTGACCACCTCATCGTCCATATCACTGAGATGGGGGGCTATTAGCATTAAACAGAAGGACCCTGGAAAATAAGAAACCTTTTTTTTTTTTTTTAAACAAGGCTTGTGTAGCAGACTTTCCTGTACGCCAAAGGAATTCCACATCTCTCAATGATCTTTGTTGGCTAACTGCCAACACATGGTAGCAACAAAGGTTGGGTTTGAACGGATTGAGAGTAGGTCTCAGTTCTACAACTGGACAGTTCCAAAGTAATGTGTGGGCTTTTTTTTTTTAAACTCATTCAGTATTTTAGATTTGTACATTCAGTATAATTGACAGTTCTCAATTGGCAAATACTGGGTCGAACATACAGGACAAATAAAAACAGTGTCTGAAGAAAATGTGATTGGCACATTGTTGGAAACTTTAATCACCACAGTGAGAAAGCAGTGAGGGGTTGCCACAAAGCCCTTGTGGTCCGCAGCCCCTTGCAGGAGATGGGCAGCTGCAGGAGGTGAAGTGTCCTGTGCTCCCTGCAGAAGCCCACTGCAGCAGAGCAGCTGCTTGCTTTTCCCTTCATAAGGTTGGGCGTTAGTTTCCCTGCTCTCAGGAGGCTACTTACCAGGGTATGCCTCTCTTCCAGGAGTCAGAAAAGACCAAAGTTTCCATAGTTTGAGTTAATGTTATACTAAAAATAAGTCCTGGTTAATACAACATCAAAGTTGAAATGGTTATGTTTTTGACAACCCCCAAGGTTTTTACCTGGTCAGTGCAATCTGTGCTCAGAACCTTAGTGTTTGCTTTTCCCTCAAGGGTGCCTGTTGCTGTAACATAAGCTCCAATAGGCCACTAACAGACAACAATGTCATGTGACATTATAATTGTATTATCTCATTGGAAGCCCTTGGAAAACTCACTTAAGTAACTATCATCCTATCCTCTCCCCACCACCTCCTCCTCAGCAGTAATTTTACTCACAAATTTAATAATAATCTGCTTTAAATTCAGCTGTTTTCAATGTCAGGAAAATTTTTTAAATATTTTCAAACTACCTGTATAATTATTTTCCCTAACAGCATTTATTTGACTTTTATATCCTTAAAGTAGCTATAGTTTTAAACACAACTATAAATCTTCCTTTAATGAAAAGAACTTAAAACAACAATATTTGTGTTGTAGGACTCTCTTTGTGTTGAGAATTATAAAGCCGACTTAAAGTACCTTGAGCAAAAAGGGAAGTTATGGGCTCATAACTGAAAAGTGCTGGCAGTGGGCAGGGTCTGGGCTCAGAGTCTCAGGGCTGGATGGCTGCTGCCACTCTTCCAGCCTCCCTACCTCCCTCCACCTGTACATTCTTAGTATAACAAGCCATATCCTTCCTACTGCTGATGAGTTTTCTGTCTGAAGCCAAATAATGGAATGATTAGTAAGACTAATAGTTTTAGTTTTACTAATTGGCTAAAAAGAGCCCCTTCTGCCTTATAACCCATGGTGCATTTCTAGAGAAGTATTCTGATTGTCCCTACTTGAGTTAGGAGCCCTCTCTTGAATCCCCTCGCTCCAGGGAAATTGGTTGCTAGGATTGACCAGGCCTGTATCCTGTGACAGAAATAAGACAAAGATTGGATTGGAAGTGTTAATATTATGAAAATGGTTATACTACCAAAGTAGTCTATGGATTCAGTGCAGTCCCCATCAAAATTCCAATACTACTCTTCACAGAAATAGAAAAACAGTCTTCAAATTCATTTGGAAATAATAAATAAATAAATAAATAAATAAATAAATAAATAAATAAATAAATAAATAAATAGAACTAATTTTGAAGAGCAAAGATCTTTGGGTAGCCAAAATAATCTGGATCAAAGGGACTACTGCAGGAGGTATCACAGTAGAACACACAGCACGTGCACACAACCAGGCGTGTGAATCAGTAGATCAGAGAGAGGACCCAGATACAAACCCACACAGCAACAGCCACCTGATTTTTGACAGAGATGCCAAAAATATACATTGAAGACAGCCTCTTCAACAAATGGTTCTGGGAAAACCAGGCAGCCACATGTAGAAGAATGAAACTAGATCTCTCTCACACTGCATAAAAATCAGCTCCAAATAGATCAGAGGCTTTAGTGTAAGACTTGAAACTCTGAAACAGTTATAGGGAAATGTGGAGAAAGCAGAAAACATGAAATTAGAAGTGAAACCGTCTGGAGTAAAGGGGACCAACAGGGAGGAGAGGGTGAGTGCTGTGCTCGGCTTACACTTTACACACTATGAGAATTCCTGCTGTAACTGTACCGTGGACAGTGAGTACAAAATGAAGTTGATTTCAAGGCAAACAGAAGGTTACCATATGGCCCAGAAATATTGTATGAGATTTGAAAATGTATATTCACAGAAAAGCTGTGCACAAACATTCACAGTAACATTATCTGTAGTAACAAAATTGATGGATAAGCAAAATGGGATATTTGTACATAGTGGAGTAATACTCACCAGGGAAAGCTCCGATGTGCTGCAGATGCTGTGACATGGATGAATTGTGAAGATGTGTGGTAGGAAATAGAATCCAGACACGAAAGGTGAGTATCATATGATCTCATTTGGATGAATTGTCCAGAACAGGAAAACCTTTAAAATAAGAAGTTCATTATTAATTGCCAGGAGTTAAGGGCTAAGGAAATGTAGAGTACTTGCCCACTGTATAATGGCTTCTTTTTCCTGTCATGAAAATGAAATTAAGTACTACAGCAGTTGCACACCTTGTGGATATACTACACCTCCATAACTCATGCACTTCAAGGTGGTTTTCTGGTGTCTGAATTATAGTTCAATTTCAAAAATAACTTAGTACTTAAGAATCCAAGAGTATTTGTATTATTTCAATGAAAACTGAAGTTTCATGAGCTTCTCCCCATGTCCCTTGGCCTGGTGGCCCTGCCACATGCCCGGATCTCATCTGCTGCTACACAGCACTGCACCTAACACTACAGTGACCCCGTGACATTAGCTCCTGAGGGTGGGTGTCATAGCATTCCCATGTCATCGTCTACCGGGAAGCACAAGAACACCAGGTGCTCTCACCCGCTGAGCCATCCCTCCAGCCCCTATTTTAAATTTTTTGAAGAACTTCCATACTGATTTTAATTGTGGCTAGACTAGTTTAAATTCCTAACAGAAATGAATAAGGCCCCTACAGACACAAAGAAACGGATACAAAGAGGAAAGGAGCTGGGCATGGTGGCACATGCCTTTATTCCCAGCACTTGGGAGTCAGAGGCAGGCAGATGTTTGTGAGATCAAGGCCAGCTGCTCAACATAGTGATTCCCAGGCCACCTGGGGCTACTGGGTGTCCCTGTCTCAAAAGAAACAAAACAAATAGGAAAGGAAGAAGTGAAATGATTGTTTCTGTAGATGATATGATCTTGTAATTAAAAGACCCAAAAGACCACCAGAAGACTGCATTTCAGCAAAGTAACAGGAAAAAAATAAACATATTAGTTGCCAGGAGCTGAGGATAAAGGAAATGTAGTACTTGCTGATGGATAAAGATTTCTTTTGCCACTCACTGAACTCACAGGAAGATAAAAGTAAAGAAGTCAATCCCGTTTACATAGCCTCAAACAATTAAGCAGACAAACAAAACCTAGGCATCAACTTTCCCAAAGGTTGAAAACTATAAATCGCTGAAGGAGGAAATTATAAATGATACGAGAAGATGGAAGGACCTCTCATGTTCATGCCTCAGCAAAATTAAGATTATTAAAATGGTCATAGTACATACTAAATTGTTCTATTTATTTTTATGTGTATGAGTGTTTTGCCTGCATGTATGTAAGTGTACCCATGCATGCAACACCCATGGAGGCCAGGAGAGGTCATTGGATCTGCAGTTACTCTTAGTTGTTAGCTATCATGTGGGTGCTGGAAACCAAACCCTGGTCCTCTGTAAGAATAGCCAGTGCTCTTAATTGCTGAGCCATCTCTCCAGTCCCATATTACACAATAAACTTTTGAGTTTTACCCCCTTCTAGATCTAAGCTACTTTTACCCTTTTCATTTTAAAATTTTTACTTATTTTTGTTTTTTTTTTTTTTTGACACAAGATCTTGCTATGTAGCCCAGGCTGGCTTTGAACTCATAGCAATTGTCCTCTCTCAGCCTCCCCAATATTGAGCTTATAGGCATGTACCACCATGCCCAGGCAACCCCTTTTTAAAGTAGCATTTATTTTAGGGAATTAATTTTCTAGTGTAATGTTTTTTCTTTATAACAAAGATGAAGACGCTAGCAATCAACAATAGAACAAAGATTAACTTACTGAGAAAAATATGCCCAGTATCCATGCCCACTACCTCCAGAGCTGTTGCTTCTGTGAAAGGTGATGAAGGTAATGGCCCTATATTAGTATTTTAGGCAGCTGGAATGTCAGTCAAACCTGTATCCATCTTTACAGTTTTTCTAAATAGGGTACCTGTGGCTAACTTATAGGCATAGTCTAATTGTTTAGCCAGAAGTAATGGTTTATATTTGACAGCTGAGGAGTGGTTCCAGCATTTGTTTCTGTTTAGTGACAAGACAAAGTAAATAAGCCATATTTCAGCCATAATTTTTAGTCACTAATGTAACCAGTAGACTATACATTGCCTTATTTTAATGATAATTTTCTATTTGTTGAATATCCTGAATCTTAAGAATCAGGGGCCCAAGGCAGAACTAATCTGGTAGTTTAATTATGAACACACAGTATCTCATTATGCTTCCGTTTCCTCTCTCATTATGTTTCCCCAAGTATGCTTTCCTTGCTGATTTGCTTTCTGGTAGCTAAGTAATAGAGCACCTGTGTTGATTAAATGATTTACTGGCATAAGCACTATTGAGGCCTATTGAAACAACTTTTTTGTTTGTATAGGTTCATGTTCCTGTGTGTACTATACATATGGGTGTGGGTGCACACATGCATGCTTTTCCTGTGGAGGACAGAGGACCACCTTGTCTGTAGTTCCTTAGGTGCCTTCCAGCTTTTGTCTGAGAAGGTCTGTCATCAACCTGTAATGTCCCAAGCAGGCTAGGCTAGCTGAGCACTCAGCTGCAGGGATCTCCTCTCTACCTCCCATCTCACCGTCTCTACCATTACAAGCATGTGCCACCATGCCTGTCTTTTTACATGGGTTCTAAAGATCCAAACTCAGGTTGTCACACTTGCAAGGCAAACCCTTTACCAACTGAGCTATCTGCCCAGCTCCTCAAAGTGACTCAATAGTTCTATTAACATTTCACTTTTGTTTATTATAGCACACTCTTACAAAGTTGGAGTTTAAATGTTCATGCGTCTCTTGTGCTGTCTTTGAGAAAGTGTTATACCAACTCATACTTTGTATTCATTCTCTAGAGAAAAAAAATGTAAGTGGAAACAGTCTACCAACATTAAGACCCTTCATTTACTAGCCAGTCCTCCCCACAAAATGTTCATATTGCCTGTGGTTTTTAGTAGTTCTTCCTTTTTTTTCTTTCTTTAATGTATATTTTTATTGAATTGTGTATTGCATACAAAACATCTTAATCATCTTTGTATGCCCTCTCCCCATCCACACACTGCCATAGCTCCCCCACCAGATTTCATGTATTCTGTCATCTATGTTAAGGTCAAGTTTATGTTAACTTGTTAACATATATGTTAAGTCAAGTTTGGGTACCCAGACATCCCTTAAGTACAGATTCATCCACTGGGGTCTAATCAGCCTATGTAGAGTCTCTCCCTTAAAGAAGATCAGCTCTCCCTCACCCGGGAGTAATTAGCTGTCAATAGTTCTTCAGCTTCTACCCTTTTCCCCAGTTCTATGCTGGGTTTTTGTCAGATTGAGTTTGCATGGGTCTTGTGCATGCTGTCACCCTCATATGAGCAAGGTCCCAAGAGCCTGTAAGACTCTATTTCCATATGGTCATGCACCTCCTCCTCTGGCTCTTACAATCTTTCTGTCCTCTCTTCCACAATGGGCTCTGGGTGGGTGGGTAATGTTTAATACAGGAGTCCTATCCAGGGACCCTGCTCTACAGGCTCTTATTCTCTACTCTTTGGCCTGTTGTGGCCTTTTGTATTCATCACCCTCTGTTGCAGGAGGGAGCTTCATTGTTGAGGGCTTAGTAGCCGTTCTTGAACTCCCTCCTGTTTCTAACTCTCTGCAACTTTCCTTTTCTTTCCATTCCTAACTTTTCCTCTGTACTTCATGTGCACTTGAGGCTGGAGGGATTTAGCACTGGTCGTCCCATCTCTATGGTTGAGTCTCCATGGTAGTGAGAAGTAGAAAGTGCTGGAGAACACAGTGTGTAGGGGCTGGCAAGAGAGAGCATCAGTCTCTGCAGGAATAGCACTTAATCCCTGTTGGTGTGCAGAAGCCAGTGAGCATCTGACTGGTATAGTGCCGGAGACACCGGGTTAGGGTGGCAGACTTAGCAAGTTTATTAGCAGCAGTTTGTAAGTGCTTGTCTTCAGTTGAAAGAAAACTTTATTTTCCCCCTTCTTTCTCAGGAAGCCAGATGCTCCAGTGCCTGATGGTGAAGGTGAAAAACCTCTCGAAGAAAGTTCAGACAGTGAATCTTCTTTCAGTGACTAAGCTGGGTTTTGAGGAGAATCACATCGACCTGTGGAAGGGTGCACTACACTCTATAAAATATAGAGCCTGAACTCTAGCTCCGGGTCATAAAAACGGCAAATGGCCACAAATCTACCACCAACCTTCCTCTGTTAAAAATAGAAATAATGCAAAAAACAAAAACAAATAAAGCACTTATAACCTGCCAATATGCTCTCTTAACCAAATGAAGTGCTCTGAAATTAAAAATAAAAAACTAAATTGCTAAGAGTGCTGCAAATAGTAAGATGGAATATTCCAGGGATGCAGTGAGCATTTTTAAGTGAAGTTATGTGGGTTTAGTGATTAAAAGTAGACCTTATGTAAAAATAAGAGAATTTAGCTAAGTTAACTAATCAATTTTTATGAATATTTTAGATTGAAAAGTATTGTGTACATTTGTATCATAAAGCATTATTGAAGAAACTTCTGGCAGAATGTAATACTAGACTGAGATCTTCTGTGATCACTTGAAACTTACATATATCTATTGTGGAATTTATTGATAGTATTTAATAGCATATTGTCCTAGTTTGTTTCTCCATTGCTGTGACAAAACACACTGACCACTACCAACTTGGGGAGGAAAGGGTTTATTTGTCTTACATTTCCCAGGTCACAGTTCATCAGGGAGCCCAAGGTAGGAACTCAGGGCAGAAACCTGGAGTCAGGAGCTGGAGCACAGGCCATGGAGGAATGCTGCTTACTGGCTTGCTCCCTTGGACCCTGCTCAGCCTGCTTTCTTATGCAACACAGGCCCACCTGCCCAGAGGTGGCACCACCCACAGTAGGCTGGGCCCTCCCACATCACTCAACAATCAAGAAGATGCCCCATGGACATGGCCACAGGCTGGTCCAACAAAGGCAATTCCCCAGTTGAGGCTCCCTCAACCCATGTGTGTCAAGTTGACACTAAAGCTATCCAGCACACATATATATCTTTTATGACTTGGCCAATAGTTTATACATTAATAAAGTCAAATATTTTCATTTTATCCATCATCAAATAGAATATTGGAGGTAGTTACAATGTGGTTCAGAGTGTGCAGTCCTCACACTGCAGTGTGTACAGTTCCTTTACTGACTGGACAAAAAAGGTTCAGTTTACAAGGTTAAAATGTTCTCAGGGCTAGAGAGATGGCTCAGCGGTTAAGAGCACTGGCTGTTCTTGCAAAGGACTAATATTCCAGTCCCAGCACCCACATGGCAGCTAACAACCATTAGTAACTCCAGTTCCAGGGGATCCAACGCCCTCTTCTGACCTCCACAGGTATACTTACACACATGCAGGCATTATACACATAAAAAAACCAAAACCAAAAATGTTCTCACCTCACCTTGCAAATACATATTCATAAATAATTAAACACAGCCTAGAAAACCCCTCAAATACTATGGTAGAAGGTAATAAATACATTTGATTAATGGTCTTAGTTTAGTTCACCTGAAAATAGAACCTGTCAAAAGGTCTTGGTGTATGTGGGTCACTTGTGAGATGATCCCAGGAAGCAAATTGAGAGAACAGAGAGAGCAAGAGGGAGACTACCTGTGTGAAGGAGCACCATCAGCCAGTGTAATGAAATATCAGCCAGTATGGAGCATCATCAAGGTTGCTAGTTTAGCTTTGAATGCCATAAGACCTCCAGAGAAGCTTACAGAATGTCTCCCTCAGTTGTCCCTCTGATAGAACTGAGATCCTTTATTAAGCCTTCTAATCCCCACTAGTTGAGTGACTTCCAAGGACAGTAGCTGCCTATATACACTTTTGAGATAGGCTTTTCCATAGGAAAACATGCTTCCCAAATATTCGAAAAGGAGTACTTAAAACAGTTGCAGTGCACAAATCTGAGTTTCCTTAGGGCTGTCTAATACAACTGTAGCTGATGCTAGAAGCAGAAAAAAGGCTATGGTAACCAGGACTGGAAAAAAAAAAAGTTTGCTGCTGTGTGTCCTTTGACTGCTCTGAACTCCTAGTCCATACTGTCTGCTCTATCACCGAGTCTTCAAGGTGGTGACAAGCCATACTCTTCTGAGAACATACAGGAAGATTGGTACGGCAGGCTGCTGTTCCCGTTGCAGCAGAACCCAAGGCCAGAACATATTCATCATCTCCTTGTTCTACCGCCCATTTTGGATTGCTCCTGCTTTGTGCCAGAAATTCAGTTTGACTAGGTTGGTTGTCTGGTAGTAACCTGCGTCTCCATCCCCTACTGTCCAGGGCTTTGGTCACTTTGCCTTTTGTAGGCTATGATCATCACAATAGCCTGTTTGCTACTGATAGAACATTGTATGAATTTGTATGGTGCACATACCATATCCTGGAGGATATCCTGCGGTACCTGATCTATACCTGTAAGAGAGGATACTCATTCTATTAGATTAACTCTTTCTGGATGGTCTGTATAGGATGGATGTTAGGATCAGTGGGAGCAGCTTTCTTCAGCTGTATAGCTCTGGCTGACCTGGTATTTGCTTTATAGCTCAGGCCAGCCTCAAATCCCAGCAATCTGTTTGCTCAGCCTTCCAAGTGTTGGGATCCCAGGCATGAGCCACCATGCCAGCACACTGCTGCTTTTCGTTTGCTAACAAATCCACCCTGTATCTGAGGCAGAGGAATGTAGGATGCCAGGTTGATAATGGGCATTAGGCACTCTGTGGGCCTGATGTGATGCTGGCAGAGGTAGTGGTGAAAAGGAAGGAAAGCCCATGCCGTGAGTTACAACAGGAAGCTTCCTTCCCAGGGGAAGAAGGAGCTGAATGTATGTAACTTGCTACCAAGTGGCTGGTTAATCTCTCCAAGGAATTTTACCAAGTCATTGGTCTCTGCTGATTATAGAAGACTGGGTATTTTGCAGTGCAGTAAGTAAAGTAGCTTTAGTGGGAAAAGTCCAAAATAGCTTCTACCTCTGTCACTATAACTACTCCTCATGGGCTTGTTAGATAACCCAGAGTTACATACACCCAGAGTAATAGATAAACTGGTCAATGTCTATTGGGAGAATCATCCTGTTGACCTAATTTTTGCTGGCTCAGAAGAATGGTAGTATTTGGTATCGTTTGTATATGATTTAAAAGTGACCCCCAGGGGCTGGAGAGCAGGTTCAGTGGTTAAGAGCACTGACTCCTTTGCAGAGGACCTGGGTTATGTTCCCAGCACCCACATGGCAGCTAACAACTATCTGTAACTCCAGCTCTGGGGATCTGATGCCCTCTTCTGGTTTGCATTGGCATTTCATACATGGGTGCACTTATGTACATGTAAGCAAAACATTCATACACATAAAATTTTTTTTTAAACTTTAAGTGTTGCCCCCAGGAACTTAGTCCCCAGTGGGTACTGTGGCTATAGTAAAACACTTAAGAAATGTGGCCAGTGGAAAGTGATCAGGTCATAGAGGCATTACTCTTGGAAGAAGTTAATGTTGGCTTCAGTGAATGAGTTCTTGCAAGAGTAAGTTATAAATCAAGGCCACTCCGTGCTCTGAGCCCTTTCTGCACACAACCGGCTCCTCCACCAGGTGATACAGCCAGGGAGGTCCTTGCTAGGACAGTGATGCCCTACTCTTTAAGAACTGTGAACTATGGGCTGGGCGTGGTGGCACACACCTTTAATCCCAGTACTCAGTCGGGAGGCAGAGGCAGACAGAACTCTGAGTTTGAGGCCAGCCTGGTCTACATAGCCATAGCTAGTTCCAGGCCAGCTAGGGCTACAGAGAGACCCTGTCTCAAAAGGCAAAAAAAAAAAGAAAGCAACCTTTTTATGAAGTATGAAGCCATGGGTGTTTTGATGTAACAACACAAAGAGGTTAGCATAGCATTCCATGATGCAAAAATCTTCATACCCTGGGCCTATTCTTTGTTATGTTTACATGGCCTATTCTCAGATTTCTCTAATCCAGTCTTGCCCTTTCATAGCCCAGACCAGCCAAGAGAATTTTCAAATTCAAATGTCTGTTTAATGTTAACTGTGGCCATGGCTTTATCAACAAGATGATAAATATATATAATCTCTGAGGCTGTGTGTAGTGGCCCACTCCTTTAATCCCAGCACACAGGAGACAAACAGGCCAGTCTCTGAGCTTGAAGCCAGACTGGTTTACAGCGAGTTCCAGGCCAGTCAGGGCTACATAGTGAGACCCTGCGCCAAAACAAACAAAAAAATGTGTGCTTTGTGTAGAGGAGGATTTTTTCCCTCACCAACTTTCAGAGCACCACTGACGGAGTAGTGTTGCAGCCAGACTGATTGTCTCACATCAACATATCAATTTGGTTCATGTATGAACAAGATCAAGATAGCTTCAACTTTTCACTTTTCTGTATTTTTAAAAATATTTTATTATTTTTATTTTATGTGTATGAGTGTATTGCCTGCGTGTATGTGAGTGCACCCGTGTCATGCAATGCTGCGGAGGTCAGAAAAGAGCTTCGGATTCCCCTGGAACTAGAGTTAAGGTCGGTTCGTAGCTGCCATGTGGGTGCTGCGAATCAAACCTGGGTCCTCTGCAAGGGCAGTCAGTGTTCTTACTTGCTGAGCCATTCTCTCCAACCCTGTGTTTTCTGTATTTTTTAAAAATATATCTTATTATGTGTATGAGTGTTTCACCTGCATGTAAGTGCACTGTGTGCCTGCAATGCCCACAGAGGGCAGAAGATTAGTGTTGAGTCCCTTGGAACTGGAGTTACAGATGGTTGTTAGCCACCATGTGGGTGCTGGGACTCGAACCTAGGTCCTCTGGAAGAACACCCTGTGCTCTTGACTACTGAGCCATCTCTCCAGCCCCACTTTTCTGTATCTTCATGCCTTTGCCATGTGATTTTTGCATTGTCCTCTGGAGTAGAACTTCCTGTTTCAGTGTTTGACTCTGAACTTTGCTATGTGATTTGTACAGGACCAAGGATACAAGAGACTTGAAAAATACTTGGCTGATCTTGTCACCTTAAGTACTAATGTCACTGACATAAACACATGAGGCTGGGCATGGTGGCACACAACTTTAATCCCAAGACTCAGGAGGCAGAGGCAGGGAGATCTCTGTGAGATTGAAGCCAACCTGTTCTACATAGCAAGTTCTAGGCCAGCTGGGACTTCAGGGAGGTCCTGTCTTAAACAACAACAATTTCAGTTTTATGGTGGGGTTGAGAAAGCTGATGGAGACTGAGAGATGTGTAA